AATTCTACGGTCTTGGGAAACTCGTGTAGAATGTGTGGAGAACTATTTTGTTAATTTTTAACAGGTTTTAGTCATACGACCACCCTTTGAACACGGTTTACAAAATCGCGATGAAAAGTACAGGAACAACGACTCGTGGTTGATTTATTATACCGATAGGCATCATAYTAATCATTGAMAATCGTTTAGAATTTAGTTGACTTTCCAAAAAGTTTAAAACCAGATTCGTACTACTATTTACTGCTAATAAATCGTAAAAAACGTTTGTACAACCATGACTCGGAGAACGACGTGAATTACAATAGTTTACTAGTCGGTACGGCGCACTGTATATAGTTGGTCATTTTGTGACCGCCCGGCATCGTCGCAGTCAACGTTGAAGTATTTTTCGTTACAAGCAAATTCAAGTCCAACATGACAGACACAGTTGTTGCAACCCCGGCACCAGTCGTCGCATCGCCGACCTCGAAGAAAYCACCTGCAAAGAAGAAGACTGCTGCTTCTAAAGCATCGAAGTCTACTGCACTGCATCCGAGTACGGCCGTGATGGTCACCAAAGCCATCAAAGAACTCAATGAGAAAAAAGGTTCGTCGTTGCCGGCCATCAAAAAATACTTGGCTGCCAACTACAAAGTTGACCCCGCCAAGTTGGCTCYGTTCATCAGAAAATTTCTGAAAGCGGCCGTCGCCAACGGTTCCGTGGTGCAGACCAAAGGCACTGGTGCATCTGGACATTTCAAGTTACCCGTAGTGGAGGCAAAACCGAAGAAGGTCGTAGCGAAAAAGAAGAAATCGCTTGTCAAGAAAGTGAAAGCCGCTGGAACACCGAAGAAGAAGTTACCGGCCACGAAGAAACCCACGACCGGCGGACCAGCAGCCAAAAAAGCAAAGAAAGCTGTTGTAGCGCCCAAAAAACCAAAGACGGCGATAAAACCGAAGAAGTCTCCGGTGAAAGCAAAAAAGCCAGCTGCTGTCAAACCGAAGACGAAAAAGTCTCCGACTAAGAAAACCACTGCCCCCAAGAAGAAGTAAAATGTAAGTT